TTATTATTTTTTTTCCATTTCTGTGAAGAATGCTGTTGGCATTTTATTAGAGATTGCATTGAATATATATGTCACTTTGGGCAGTATGAGCATTTTCAACAATTTTAATTCTTCCAATCCATGAATATGGGGTGACCTTCCATTTTTTTTCCTGTCTTCTATTTCTTACAGTGATGTTTTTAAAAAGGTTTTGCTATAGTGAACATACACTCACTGAAGAGAGACAGAGTGAGAGAGACTCAAAGTGAGAAATCACCCCCCACCACCACGGGAGGCATGCCACAATCCTTTATCCTCTATTCTCCTTCTGGGATTTTGGGCATGTACACATATGCACCAGCATGATTTTCAAGCTGCCAGGTCTGGGACTCAATCTGTGGTCGGCCATGTGGGAGTCCAGTGCCTTAACTATCATGCCATCTTCTGGCCCCTATTGATGTTTTACAGTTTTCATTGAAGAACTCTTTTGCCTTACAAGGTTGAGCTTTTTTAAAAAGTTGATTTCTTTCTTCCATGAATAAGAGACAGAGACAGAGAGACAACACTCTTAACAGAAACTTAATGCTACCTCTAGCTTCAGCCAGCCTCAGACCTTGGCATGTGTATGCTCAGTGTACTCAGGGACATCTCTCAACACAAACTCAGAACCATCCCATGAGAGTTAACCTCACAGAACATCATGTTGTACTGCTGTACCATCACGTGGTCCCAGAATGAACTTTTATGGTACATGAATTGTGTCTCAATAAAACTGTTATTTGAGACAAATGACAGAACAATAAAATGTTGTCAACATCATTTGACCTATGAAATTTGCCCTAGTAAAAAGAATAACTGTAATAGAAACTATAAAATACTATGCTTGTGGGCTCAGCAGTTGGTGTAATGGCTATGTCGCTGGACTTCCATGTAGTCGACCATGGTTTGCATCCCAGACCCAGTGGCTTAAACCTATGTCGGGTGTGTATGTGTGCATGCCCAAGATCCCAAGAGGAGAATGGAAGAGAAGGGATTGCAGCGTGGCCATCCACCCTTAGGGGTGATTTCTCATTTTCTGTCTCTTTGTCTCTCTCTGTCTTTCTGGTGAGCACACGCGTCCTATAGCAACCCCCCCCCCAAAAAAAAAATGCTATGCTTGATAAAATTTTTTTAAGATAAATATTGATTGATGAATCATATCTTTGTTGTAAAATAAGCTCTGATAAAAATCAGTGTGAGGATGGCTAGCTGATGGTGTGGTGGTTAAGGTGGCTGGATCCACTGGCCAACTGCACGGTTCAAGTTCTGGACCTGGTAGCTTATAAAAACAAAACACTGGGCGTGTGTGTGTGTGTGTGTGTGTGTGTGTGTGTGTGCATGCCCAAAATTCTGAGAGTAGAAATGAAAGAGGATGGATTACAGCATGGTCATCCCCCATGGGGTGCTTTCTTTTTTTTTCTTTTCTCTCCCTCTCTGGCAAGCACACATGCCCTCTAACAAAGTTTAAAAAAAAATTTAGTTTGATGAAAATGAGTTTTGCTGAGGAACATTTAAGATGAGATAAACCTGAAAATGATCTAGCCGTCTTTCAAAAACTAAGAAATTAAATGGTCTTAATGGCATTCACACCAAAATTCTTTTCTTAGCTAAAATTAATAAATATTGGTACTACTACTTTGATCAAAACATTTGTATTGAAAATACTGACTCAAATCATTAGTCAAAATAATACAGTCATGTAGTAGGATTCTAATATGGCTCTAATATTTGTTAATTATTTGCTGTATTGGTTTGCTGGGGCTGCCATGACAAAGTACCACAGGCCAGGTGGCTAAAATGACAGAAATTTTATTTTCTCATGGTTCTGGAAGCTGGAATCCAACGTCAAGGTGTTGGCAGGGTTAGTTTCTTCTGAGGTTTTTCTCCTTGACATGAAGGTAGCTGCCTTCTTGCTGTGTCCTCACATGATCTTTCCTCTTCATTGTCTATGTCCTAACCTGTTCTTATAAGAACACCAGTCAGCTTGGATCAGACCACCCTAATGAGATCAATCTTACTGCAACTTGGTCACTTCTTTAAAGGCATTATCTCCAAATAGTCCATTTTAAAGTACCAGGAGCTAGGGCTTTATATGAGGGCTGGCTCCATGACTGGTGGTTAGGGCAGCTGTATCCCACATGGCTGACTTTGGTGTTTGAGTCTGGGACCCAGTGTCTTGAGAAACATGCTGGGCGTGTGTGTGTGTGTGTGTGCGTGTGTGTGTGTGTGTGTGTGTGCCCAAAATCTTCAAAGGAGGGAGATATGTAGAGAAGGGAGTGCAATATTACCATTCCTCATGAGGGGTGCATTCTCCTTTCCCTCTCTGTCTGTCAGAAAAATGAACAAACAAACAAAACAAAGCCTTCATATAAAATTTTTTTTTGAGAGGTTTTTGCCATAGGGCGTGTGCGCTTGCCAGAGAGACAGAGAGAGACAGAGAGACAGAAAGCAAGAAATCATCCCCCAGGGAGGATGGCCACGCTGCAATCCCTTCTTCTCCATTCTCCTCTCGGGATCTTGGGCACACACGCACACACACCCGGCGTGTTTTAATCCACCGGGTCCAGGATGTGAACCGCGGTCGACTACGTGGGAGTCCAGCAACATAGCCATTACGCTAACTGCTGGTCCCAGCCTTCATATAAATTTGAGGCAGGTTGCAGGGGACACAATTCATCCCATAATATTGATGTAATATTGGTGTATTTATATACTTGCTTTATAACTTCACAGACTCATAAAATATTAAGAATTGGAAATCTCAGATGTCATCTAGTATGGTTCCTACCTTCTCTCTTTCAGGAAAAGGAATGAATATAATGATGATAATGTAATAATATGAAGCACACTGCCCTGACTTTCTCAATTGTTTATTTTAGGATAGAAGAAAAGTCTGTATTCAAGATGAAACCAATTTCCTTCCGTATTTGTGATCGTGATGTCTTGTGACTAAGAGAATGCTCACTAGGAATCTTGAAAAACTTGTTTGCATGGTTTAGCAATGGTGAAGGATTACTAGTAAAAATGAAATGTGAGGGGGACCAGCATTTGGCATAATGGCTATGTCACTGGACTCTCATGTAGTCGACTGTGGTTCGAGTCCCAGACCCAGTGGCTTAAACTCACGCTAGATGCGTGTGCGTGCCCAAGATCCTGAGGGGAGAATGGAGGAGAAGGGATTGCGGTGTGGCCATTCCCCCTGGAAGGTGATTGACCCCCCCTCATGAGAAAAATCCCCCAAAAAAAAAAAAAAAAAAAAGCAATGTGAGGAACCAGCTGGTGGCACAGTGATGTTATAGTTGAACCCATATGAGAATGATCCTAGGTCTGTGTCCCAGAACCTCCTTAATCCTGCTAGGCATGTACATGTGTGTTCAAGATGTGAGCCAGCTGAGACTGGGGAGTGGGTGGCAAATGAGGATCCTATTGGGTGTATCTCTCTCACTGCAAAAACAAAACAAAACTTAAGAAAAAGTAAAAATAAAATAAAATATAGACAGCATATTTATAGCCTTAACATTGACTACACTACACATTATTTTACAGAGTGCCTCAGGACTAAATTCACTTAGAGCAGTATCAAGAATCTTGCTGTACAAACATTCTCCAATAGTATCCCAAAAGCCCTCTGATATCTGATATTTGGGCCAAAGCTAGAAATAATAATAATAAGATCTTCAGAGGTCATTAATGCTTGTTCCTTGGAGATTCTTGTCCTAACTAGAGAATTCCAGGAGCCTCTTTAATTTGCTAAGAAAAAAGATGTCATGGAGGCATCAATTTTTGATGAAGTCTAAGAGTCTTTTGAGACTCTCTTGAAAATGTCCTGTCTGGGAGCAAGTGATAAACAGTATTTATTCTATGCATTCACTTAAAAATTCCTCCTTCCATCAAATATTTAGTAAATATCTATCATATATTGTGCTAGGTGATGGGTTTTTAATGATGATCATGTGGAAGCCATCATTGGGAGACAGGCCATTAGGACAAATGGTTACTCTACAGTGTGATAAGTGTGTGATAGAGAAAACTGGAGCCTATTGTAGGAGTAAATGGAGGGAAGAACACCAACCCAGGCAGAGTGGTCAGAAGAGCTTTTCCTAGAAACAGTAAGGCAAAGCTGAGACCTGAAAGATGAATAGGAGTCCACCAGATGAGGAGGGGAAATGGGAAAGGGTCCTGGTGGAGGAGCGCCACGTGTAAGGCCTGGAGGTAAGTGATACTGATGGAACTGGGACTGTTCAGCACGGCTGGTATGTAGAATGCAGCAAGCACAGGTGGGCCTGTAAGAGTAAACTGGGTAGGGTGGTAGAGGGGGCACGGGGATGCAGATCCTAGAGAACCTGTGAGATGAGATATAGAGAGTATTCGAAGAGCTCCTCATCTGAGCTGATCAGATGTCCTGAGGGGGCAGTGTTATGCTGTAGCTAACACCATAGACTTTAGTCAGACTGTTGGGTTTTGAAGCTCCACTGAGCTGCTTCCTAACCTCATTACCTAATTTCTGTGTTTCTGAATCGTCATTCATCTGTAAAATGGCTAAACGACACCTATCTCAAATGTCTGTTCAGAGAATAAAATAAGGTTATATACATAAACAGCTCTAGAATAATACATGCCATATAGTTTAGTTCTCACAAAATTATAGCTATTAACAAAATCCGTAGTGCTAAGTCCATCTCACCAAATACTTGTGTACCCTTTGTTTTTGAGTGAAATGATATCATTTAGACTGCTCAAGATTTCTTGACCTTCAACCCCGAGTCTTTGGTTTCAAAATCATGGTAGGAATTTGTTCTAATTGCTTTATGACACATGCTTGGAATTGTGATCTCTTGACATTATGCCATAGATGCTTTGAGCCAAATGCCTGGGAAATCTATGAATAGGTGAGTCACAGAATGGTATGCAAGTCCACTGCTGTGAACTTCCTGTTGGTCAGTAGCTGCAGGAGCTAGAATAGTGATGCGTAGGATCATCCACATGGCCATTCATGCATGGCCATTGAATGCCTAAGGGAGCCAGGCCATCCTTTGTGCCCTGTTAACTATGGGCCAGAAGTTCCAAATAACCCCTGAGATTGACAGTCTCTCAGTGGTAAGTTGGGGTTAAATACTTTTTTGTACTCTATTTTTATTTCCTTTCCTAGGAAGCTATTAATAACTCCTTGGTATGGTTGTTGTAAGGACTAGGCATGCATAATATTGTTCTAACATTATAAAAAGGGTTAATGAATATACTTATTCATATTTGGCAAGTATTTATTGACACTGCATTAAAAGCAAGACATTGGGTCTAGAAGGTGGGGCAGTGATAAAATGTGACACTCTGCCCTAGTCAGAATGGCGAAGATTAAAGAAACAAAAAATGATGAGTGCTAGCGGGGATGTGGTGAAAGGGGAACTCTCTTACATTGTTCATGTAAATTGGAATGTAAATTGGTCCAACCACTGTGGAGAACAATGTGGAGCTTCCTCAAAGACCTTCAAATAGAACTACCATATGATCAAGCAATTCCACTCCTGGATATCTACTCAAAGGCCAGAATTCTCAGTTGGAAAAGCGCTTGCACATCTGTGTTTATGGCAGCATCATTCACGATTGCTAAGACATGGAACCAACCTGAATGTCCATAAACAGATGAATGGATTGAAAAGGTATGGCACATATACTCCATGGAATATTATTCAGCCATAAAAAACAAGACCCTGGCATTTGATAGAAAGTGGACACATATGAAAGATTTATTGCTGAGTGAAGCAAGTCAGGCTATGAAACAGAGACATTTTATGTCTCCACTTAGCATATATCGACTGTCTACACACTATGGTAGAGGCTGAAAGACTGGAGGACATAAAAGTATTAAAAATTATTATGGATACTAGCGACAACGTGGAAGGAGAGTGTGAGAGGGGAAGAGTGTAGAAAAATTTTGGGGGAAAAATAGGAGGTAAGACATTTGTGGGATGCAGATATGGTTTATTATCTGTTGATGAGGATGTATATAGTATTCTCAACCTGGCTGGACTGAGGTGTATATCATGTTGGGTAAAATCTCTTTACAATCTAAATAGTGTATAGTGATTCAAGTATAAATAATAATAAATTAATAAAAAAAGAAAAAAAGTGACACTTTGCAAGGTATTCTCTCATGGGAAGGTGCCCAGTTGGAGACTTCCCTGAGTACAACAGGCACACAAGCACCCAGAACCCATGGCTGATTGAGACAGGGTGGTGGTGGGGGTGTGGCTGCAGTGTGAAGACCCTGTTGGGAATGCTGTTTCTCTCTTTATATATCTCTTGTTCATGGAAGAAATACTTTCTTTTTTAAAGAACAAGCTATACATATGGTCAGTGCATATTCCCTACTCATGAGAGGCGAGATTGATATGCTTACAGTTAATTACAGCAGCGTAGTAAATGCTAAAAGACAATTTTGAGATACTGTAGGACCTACACAAGGAAAAAAACCCATGATCTTGCTTATAGGGATCAGAGAAATCTTTAGAGAATAAGTGATATTTGAGCTGAGTCTTTAAGAATGTATCAAAGAGTTCATTTATACAGGGCTGGGCAGGGCATTCTAGGCAGAGGGACCTGCAAGCACAAAGGCATGGAGACTTCTGACAGCTTGGGGCTTTGATGAAAGCTGTGAATAGTTTTATACCTAGGTATCTTATATTTCTCGTGGCTATGCTAAATGGGATTCCTTTCTTCAGTTCTGTCTGTGTCTGCTTGTTGTTTGTATATAGAAATGTTATAGATTTTTGTAAGTTTGGAGACAAAGCAGGAGAGTGTGAGAGGGGAAGAGCATAGGAAAGAAAATTTGGGGGAAAAATAGAGAGGCAAGACATTTGTGGGACACAGATGTGGTTTATTACCTGTTGATGATGTGTATAGTATTCACAACTGGGCTGGTCTGAGGTGTATATCATGCTGGGTAAAGTCTTTTTATAATCTAAATGATGTATAGCGATCGTTTGTGTAAATAATAATGAGAAGAAATAAGAAAATTAAGAAAAAAGGGAAGAAACTGTGAATAGCTCAGTTTTCCTGAATGCAAGTCATTTGGGATGCATGGAGGGAGATAAGGATGGAAAAGCAGGGTGTGTCTTGTATAACAGTATGGCAAATATTCCAGCATTTATCATAGAGGAGTTATGGAGGAGCAGAGAGAAATATTTACAAAGGCGTGGAAAGGTGAAATTCAGGTGAGAAATGACAAGGGCTGGAGAAGGCAGTGAGGTGGGGGTGGGGAGGGAGGAGCAGAAAAGACAGACTGGAGAGTTGGAATTGACAGGACTTCATTGATTAGAGCAGGGCGGGGTAATGAGAGCAAGGGTGGTGTGAAGGATGATGTCCAGCTCCTGGCTTAGGCTATGGGGTGGTGGTGCTCTGTATGACTCATGTCTTACAGACCTTGCAATAAAAGGTTGGATTATGCTGGACAACTTCCAAAAGGGTTTAATGAACAAAGTGCTAAAAAGAAACTAAACCACTACAACAAGAATGGCAGGCTAGCGAGATTCTAGAAAATGAAAAAAAAAAAATGAAGCATACCTTATAGATCCACGACTCTCAGCAATTTTACTCTTAGATAAGCTGAAGGTCATTTCCAATTCAAGATGGGCCTATGAATTTCAGGGGGGGCAACTTGAGCCTGCAGTAGAGAAATTTTGACCAGCCTCTATACTCTGTGTATGTGATCAATTTTCTCCTTAGTCTGTGTAACGAGCAGAGTGGACTTACATAATGTCCTAGAAATAAGTGTGGTAGCTCCCTTGGGATTACATGGTTAGACTGATTTTCCTGGAGTGCCCTCCTTTTCCTGTTCATTATAAATTCCTGTGTGTAATTCAAGGTCCAGTTCACATCCTGCTTCAGGAACCTGCCCTACATGCCGTCAGCTGCATTTAACTTAGCCCTTCCCCAATCATTCCTTTTCAGCAATTTGCGGTTTATTATCTTACTTGAATATCTCACTTTCAACTCCAGTCCCCGATCAAATCTTAGTTACCTGCTGTGGTTCTCTTGATGTTAAATTTCTAACTTCTACTTTTCTGTCTAGTCATCTGTACCCTTGCACAAGGGAGTGAGAGTTACAGGGCACCTGCGTTGTAGACGACCATTCATTTATTTGTTCATTCGACAATGATTGTGTAATAGCACATGATCCAGTTCCAGCCTACCTTGTCTTCATCTTCCCCTCACTTATTAGGTTCTAATGATAGCCACTTGCTCCCACCTCTGAACCACGCCTTTCCACCTGCTCTTCTAACCACTGGGAGTGCCCTTCCCCTGGAATATCTCAATATTCAGGTTCCTTAATCTCATTTCCTCAGAGAGACCTTCTCTGGTCAGTCTTCCAGCCATTTGCTCTATCTCATTATCTTTTACTTGTTGCAGAGTACATATTATTATCTCCAGTCAACTTGCTGTGTGTTTAGATGTTTACAGCCCATTTCCCCCATGGGGATGTAAACTGCTTGAAGACTGCCTTGTCTCGTTCTCCGCTGCAATTTCGCACATGCTAGGAAGCCTTTAGTGGATGCTCTGTAGGTATGTACTGAATCAACGAAAGGGCTAAGAAAGGCAAACAGACACCTGCCTATTAGAGCTTACAGTCTTTGTGGAGAAGACAAATAGTAAGTACTTGTGTGTAAGGAATGCGATATGAAACAGTGCATGCAGATACATGGTAACTTATCCCAAGGGGATTCACTTAGACTTCCCAGAACCCAGAAAAATTTAATAGAGGCTTGAAGGAGATCCATTTACCCACTGTGAATATGCCCTACTTTTCTTATGCTCTATCATACCCAGAAGTTCCTTCTGCTTTGACTTCTAGGACAAGACCTTTGATTTTTGATGGGGTCAGGAGGTAATTAACTCTGATAGCTACTTTAAGGCATTTAGTATTTTGAAAATATATCTCAAACAGTTCATTGTAGTTTGTAATAAAAAATGCTTTGTGGTAGGTCATTTCACTACATACTTATTAATGGTGTTCAGCATTACAGCTGTTCACGCATTCATTTAACTCCCACAAACGTTCAGCTGATGCCACAGCAGACTTGACAAATCCCCTTACTCGGTCTCTTCTTTTATGCAGAAGCAGTTAACCTTCATGCTGTCATGGTTGTTTATTCCACCGTTGAAGCACCAATGTGTTAGAATCTAATTGAAGAGAGTTCTTCCCCCTCTGTACTGCAATATTGCTAGTGAAGTGCTCCCTGGTATGCATTTTTGGGTATCACACCGATGACCTATTTTTCAAAAGGGTCTCTTTAGAGATTAATTTACCTTGACCTTGCCATTGATATAAAAAATGTCACTGACACATGGCTGATGGATAAATGTTTCATTGCTGGGAATGGAGTTCCATAAACACTTAATCACAGCTTTCTCTGTCCCTGTTTTATGACCCACCATAACCATAACTCTCTCTCTCCATTCACTTCACTGCTGCAAAAATTGATGCTTGTTGATTCACTGTCTAGTTAGGACTCATTTCTACAACCAGCTGAAAAAGGTCTTTGTGTTTGGAGAATTAAATGATGATTTCAGCCAGTTTCTTCATCTCTTCGGCAGAAAATTGGGTGACCAGAATGCACAATATGTAATTAGATTGAAAGATGAGCCTGCAGCCAGGCACCAGAGGACAGGAGTCGGGGGAGGAATGGGTATAGTCACAGACCTCTGCTTTCTAGCCCTCTTCTATCTGTGTGAACTTGGACGAATCTCATTTCTCCACATTGCAGGTTCTTCCTGATGTAACCCAGAGGTTGGATAGCATTGTCAGTGGGCTCCCTTCTGGAAGTCAGCCAGAAAATTTATTGAGGGGGTAGTGGAAATCCTTTGTTAAGGAAAACTTCGATTCGGGAGGATGGCCGAGGGGAACCAGTGAGGTAGCTTCTGGCTTTTTTTTGAAATGAGAGAGAGAGAGAGAGGAGAGCGAGAGAATGTGGCCAATGCCACTGAGATGAGGGAGAGGGAGAGAGAAGAAAATTGTGCTTACTGTGTAAAGTTAATAACACTATCAATTTCTACCTCATTGCCATATAATGGAGATAAGAATCTCATTATTCAGAGACATG